ATGCTTAGCGGTAGCAGCGAATTCGAATTTTTCCATATTGCTCATGCTTTAGTTTTAGCGAAACGCTTCTGTTACTTGTAAGTGCCTCGATCCAAACGGTACCGGAGAAAGTTTATGGAGCGAGTTGAGGCAACATGGCCGCCTGAACGAAAATGGTAACCTAAATAAGCAATTTTCTGTACGATTTTTTTAGTTGGTTTTTCATTTCTCGCTGTTTTACTGCAGATTCAAGTAAGATTGTCAAGTCATCTTAACAACTAGCCAAATGTGGCGCTCGAAACGTCGGTAATGTCTGTAGTAAAATCGATATGCGGATCAATCCCGTCCGCAACGTGAATACCACGTGACTTTCCTTCCGTATTAAAGTACAGTACAGTAATTCCCCGACTTGCGCGAGCTCGGACTTTTTGACTTTTTCGTTTGGCAATACTGCCGCCCGCTATTTTCACTGTTTCTATTGCTGTGATGCGCATTGGACGCGTTTCGCGCGAACTCTAGGTGCAGTTACGATTTTACGATCGATAAGATTGTTTTGCTATACGTTTTCTGAACCCTTTAAAAAACTATGTCGTCCAAACGAAGGCAAATCTGATTCCCGTGCGCCTAATAAGAAGAGGAAAACGATATCTTTGGAATGGAAACTTATCAACAAGGATTTTCATAGCAGAATGAAAATTAGTGAATTGGAAAAGAAATCTGAGCTACCGGAATCCATAGTAAGAACAGTCATAAAAAATAAAGAAAGAATTCTCGATGCGGTGAAGAATGCTCAGTCTTTGAACTCAAGCATAATTCGAAAACGTGGTATTATCATTATTACTGAGATGGAAACAATGCTGAAATTATGGTGATAGTCAAGTAAAAGTGAAGAACTGTCCAGTCGAACAGAACAGTGTGTGCTTTCAAGCTAAGCTGAAGTTTGAGAGGTTGAAAGAAGAAACTGGGGAGGTGGGCGAAGATGAAAACCTTTTAGCTAGTAACGGTTGGATCAACCGATTTAAAACTCGCTATAATTGAAACAGCATCGCGGAGAGTGCAGAGGTGGTAAGTGCCGATGATGAAGCTGCGTCTTCTTTACCTGCGACACTCAAGGCCATGGTAGAAAAAGGTGACTGTAGCAGTGAAACAGTATTTAACGTGAATAAGATTGGCCTGTTCTGAAAGAAGATGTCTAAAAGAACTTTATTCGCACGTGAAGAAAAAGACTTTCCAGGTTTTAAGGTTTCTAAAGACCGATTGAAATTGATGGTTGGCAGGAATGCAGCTGGTGACTGCAATTTGAAACTCTTACTTTACTGCTCTGAAGTCCCCAGAGCCTTAAGATTAGATCACTAGTGATTTGGAAGTCAAATGATTAAGCTTGAGTGACAGCTTACGTTTTTGAGGACTGGTTTGGTCACCACTTCATACCTGAAGTCGAACGTCATTACAAGCCTATACAGACTCCATTTAAAGTGGGGCTTCTTATTAAAAATGCACCTTATCACCCTCCTGCCACCCTAGTTGATTTCGACCCACGTGTGGAAGTTGTTTTGGCCTCCAAACACATCTAGCTTGCTTCATCCGATGGACCAGGGAGTCATCAAAACATTTAAGGTTTACTACACGAGGCGTTCGTTTTCACATCTGAATGAAGCTATGAAACAAAACAGTGACATATCTGTTAAAGACTTTTGGAAACGGATGCAGTAATAATCTTTGGAAGAAATTTCCAAAAAAATCATTGAATGATGTCTGGAAAATACTTTGTCCTTTTTTTCAAAAACGAGACGGAAACAACGTCGGAAACTGATAATTTCGCTTATGTGGTACAAGAAGTTGTTAATCTTGCCAGGCAGTTAGATTTGGAAGTCAATGGATCTGATGTCAACGAGCTGTTGGATTCACATAGTAAGGAGATGGCGATTGATAAGTTAATAGAGATGTTTTAGCAAAATGTGTCCAACGCTTCAGACCCAGTTTTACCAGAAAGCACATGATATTTGCAAGCTTGATAGAAGGTCTCAGCATAGTTGAAAAGGGCTTAAAATTTTTAGAAAACATAGACTCCAACGAAGAATGCGTTATGCCATGGAAGGAATAAAAAAATTATTAGTTTACTACGAAGAAATTCGTCATCGTCAACGAAATAACATTTTTACGTAACTTTTTTAATATTTGTATTAATATGTATAAAGAACTGCAATTTATTAAATATTTTCTTCTAAACTAGTGTTTTTTCAGTCCTTAGCCCCAACAGAACAAAGTTTATATGCATTTATATGCAAACTTGTGCCCAAACTTGCGCGATTTTCTTCGAACCCACCTATGGCGTAACAGGTATTTAATTACAGTTGTACTCCCTTCCGCACATTGTACAATTTTTCAATCTTTTAAGAATAACCGCAGCCCCAAAAAACACTGCTAATTCATCAGATGGGAGGGCAGCTACAGTGGTTCAACCCTGTTGGTGTGTGATTGGACATTCTGAAATTCCAGATCGTTACGGATCTTGCTCCGTATTCAAAAGTATCTGCTCATTGCTTGAATTCGAACTACACTATTTTAATAAAAGAAAATGTAATATTTTGCGATATTATTATTTGTAAACTTTAATCGGGCACCAGTGTGTAGATCCCGTTGAAAATTTCCCTTGAAGAGCATGCAATATCAAGCCGTGTTCGTCGATCCGTAAGCGTC